CCTCATCTCCCAGTCTCTCCCTTTGCTCTCTCTGCTTCAGCCATTCTGGCCCCCTTGTGCCCCGCAAGCACACTCCCTCTACAGGAAACTGCTTTTCCCTCAGAACTCATACCTCCTCAGAGGTGCCCCCCACCATTCCTATCTATCCCTCATCTCTGTTCTACTTTTCTCCATTTGGCTATGATTCCCTGCCAGATGCATATTTTTCTCTTTCCTGGTGCTACGGACTGAGTTGGGTCTCCCCAAAATTCATATGTTGAAGCCCTAAGCCAATGTGACTATTAGGAGATACAGCTTCGGAGGTAATTAAGGTAAGATGAGGTCCTAAGCGTGGGGCACTAATCCAGTAGGATGGGTGGCCTTTTAAGAAGAGGAAGAGGAAGAGGAAGAGGGATCTCACCCCCTCTCCTCCACCCCCACCTCCACTTTCATCCCCTCTACACACATATGCACAAAGCAAAGATCATGGAACTGTCTGGAACTGTCTCAGGAGCAGAGGACCTGGCTTCTTCATCTTGACTCCCACAGCGTCCGGCCCAATCCCGGGCACCCCATGTGCTCTCAGGGGACACTGGAGACCTCTCCTGGCTCCTCCCCAAGGGAAATCCAAGGTTCATCCCTCTAGTTTGTTTCAGGGGAGATGCAGCCAGATCTCTTAGGACTCCCGGAGGCATCACAGCACCTTCTGCAATTACAAGGACGACTGGCAATTAATGGATCTAAATAGCCATTTGCTCCAGCTTCCCTCCACACCCTGAGGAGCCGCGCTCTGCCAGACTGGGAAGTCAGCCTGCTTCTGCGGTCTCCCTGGGCTCAGCCCTTCTCCTGACCCTCCAGACGCTTGTCCTGGACACTACTCACCGCCCCGCCCCCCACTGATAACCAGGGGCTCAGCAACAAAGATTTAACCTCTCCATCAAACAAAAATTTGGTTAAAGGAGTGAAAGCATGAGGCTTTTAAAAATTTGTTCTTAGGGGCACCTGGGTGGCTCAGTCATTAAGTGTCTGCCTTCAGCTTGGGTCATGGTCCCAGGGTCCTGGGATGAGGCCCCGCATCTGGCGCCCTGCTTGGCGGGAAGCCTGCTTCTCCCTCTCCCACCTCCCCACCCCCCGCTTGTGCTTGCTCTCTCGCTTTTTCTCTGTCAAATTAAAAAAAAAAAACTTAAAAAAAAATTTGTTCTTCAAAAAAACTTCTGTTGCTGTTCTAAAGCCGAATGTCCCCGAGTTATACAGCAAGCTGACAAATCACCAACGAGGCTCTCCTCCCAGGGAGTAGAAGTTCCAGTCCGGGATCCTGATCCCGTGCCACACAGCGCCCTCTGTGCAGGACCCACCTGCAGGGGCTTGGAAAAGGTGGCTCCAAGTCTTTAATTCACTGAGCAAAGACGCACCAGGTCCTGGGTGAGGGGCATTTTTGGCCTACCTAGTGCCTGAGCCCAGTGGAGCTCCCTGGGCTGTCTCCACCTTTGCAAGGCTCCCCTGGAGGCGGCTGCAAAAGCTTCTCTTGCACCCCCTTGGCTTGCCAGCCAGCACCCATCTCCGTTCCCTTGCAGCAAAACTCTCCCACAGTGCTGTCCACATGGGCTGGCTCCAATCCTTCCTACCCCGCTGGCAGATCTCAGCCCTGACCGCCCCTGCTGGTCAGGGGACTCCTAGACCTGGAGGTCCCTCCAAGGAGCCCCAGGGACCACTGTGGGGCAAGACTCCCCTTCGAATGCCAGCAATGCCTCTTCCGTCTGTCAGGGCTTCTAAGTAAGACTCCGTTCGAGATTCCGTGGCTGAGCGCTTTGAAACCACTAGACATGCAACAGCTGAAGCACTGACTTGGGGAGGGACCCCTCCCAAATCTTTGCCCAAATCTCCCATTGTACAGCAGCATTAGGCCTCAGGCTCCAGACTACCTCCCTGTCCCGCAGAAGCCACCCACCCGGAGCCCCACCTCTCTCCTTCCCTTTCCCAGAGCCCAGCCCAGGAGCCTCCAGCCAGCCAGTCAGGAGGACCTTACGGAGCACACAAGGAAGGATGCCGATCATGATGAAGGGCCCGTCAAGTGCATCCTCCTCCCCTACTAACTTCTAATACACGGTTAGTGATGAGTGACACTGGGGGGGGCTAGGGCCCTTTTTGGCAAGAAATAACAAGCGCTTGCTCTGTGCTGGGCATTGCTTTATGAGTTTGCACCCAGCCACACACTTAGTCTTCACAGGGGCTCGATGAGGGAGACTTTGGATTGGGACCCAGGCAGCTGCCTCCCCTCTGGGTGTCTGACACCCATGCTGTAAGAGGCTGGGACGCATCTGTGGCTCCTTGGCCCTGCGGAGTTAGGGACGCATCCAGGACAGGTATGCCAGAGTTTGTACAAGTCCTGGCCCTGCCACTCCTTGGCTGGGTCACCTCAGTTAAGTGACTTACCCTCCCCAAGCCTCAGCTTCCTCATCTCTAGGATGGGCCTGCTGTTGAGGACAAAATTATGATACACACAAAGAGGGGTGGGGCCACCTCAAAGAGGGAAGAGCGGTGGTGGTGGGTCAGGCCATGCCTACCTCCCTCTGGGCACTCCCCGTTCTCCCCTTCACATCCCTGTCTCTTCACCCACCTATATCCCCACTGTCACAATTCAGCCTCCCTGTCCCCACCCCAGCCAGAGGGGTCCTCCCTTCAGAGGACATCTGCCCAGGGCTGTCCTAAAGGGAGGGCCAAGACACTGCATTACTTGTGCTCCTGCTGGCTTCACACTGCCTGGTATACAAAGGGTGCCCAATAAATGTGTGCTGGGGATGGCATAGAACTTACACTTACTCAACACCTGCTGTTTGCCAGGCAGCGCTGGGCACACTCTGGGGCCCTAAGGGTATAGACACAAGTCCCTGACCCCCTAGGAAAGCCCCTATGGGGTGGGGATGGGGTCACAGAAAATTTCAGAACAGCATCATCTACCACAACCCAAAGGGGCGGGGAGTCAGAGGGGTCAGGGAAAGTTCCCAGGGGAGATGGTGCCTCCAATCCAAAACCCCATTACAGATGAGGAAACAGAGCTCAGGTAAGAAAAGTGACTCGCCCAAGTTAATGACAGCATGTCAGTGACTAAGTCAGGCCTGAAAAGCAGCTGTCCTAGCCCCTGGCCACCTAGCCCCTAGTGCTCCTTCCAGAACAAGGCTTCTCAACCTTCCTACTGACATTTGGGCCTGATTCTTCCTTCTTGTGGGGGCTGTCCCGTTCACTGCTGGATGTTTGCCCTCTACCTGCAAGACACCAGTAACCCCCTCTCCCCAGCTGTGGCTGTCAAAAATGTCCCCAGACATTACCAAATGTCCACGGAAGAGCAAAACTGCCCTCCGTTGAGAGCTACTCGTCTAGAATTCAGGAAATCCTACCTGAGCTAAGAGGCAGTGACCAAAGTCAAGCCTCAGGCCTAGATGTGGACAAAAAGGTCTGGTGTCAGGGCTTGCAAACAAGCACCAAGAATTACCCGCCCAGGGTCACTTTTTATTGCTGGGCCCCACCCTGTGAATCCCTTAGACTTGAGTTCTGCTTTTCACTTTTCCACGGTGCTTTAGTTCACCACACCCCTGTGAAATGGATAGGGGAAAATATGCTTTTATCCTCATTCTACAGATAAGGAAATTAAGGCTCAAGAATGTTAAATGCACCAAAGTCCCCTGGTAAGCTAGTGGCCAAACCCGGCTGGAATTCCCCGACAGAGTCACCCAATGGCAGAGACGGACAGGAGACCCAGGGCAGACAGAGGGCTTTTTATCATCTGCATCTACTTCTAGAAGGCTGCATCCCTAGAACCCAGATCCATTAGTTCCTGACAATCCCAGGGGCATCACAACTCTGGCAACTCACAGATGGGAACTACGGAGGCTCAGAGAAGACAAGAGACACACAACTGCATGCACGCATGCTTGAGGGGAGCTGGGCACCAGCCCTCCTCCCTCAGTGCCCGCTCCCATCCAGGCTGGGGCTGCAAGGCATGGGCTCCTCACAACCCATCTGACAGTCCCGTAGACACTGCCTGGCCAATGGGCCTTCCAGGCTCTTAAAGGACACCGCTCCCCATCATCATGCAACATCTGGAACTTAAAACTCCCTCCTTCTGATGTAGGAGGGGAGGCCTGTTTGAGTGAGAGAATGTTTTCAACCATGAATCAGTCCTGTTACTACGAGCAATCACTCCATTGCTAATTACTGGTGATGCCAACAGTTCACAAAGTTTGCACATTTATTATATGCCAAGAATGGTGCTAGAGCCTTAAAGCCCCAGTGACTAGTTACACGTCTGCCACAGCCCACTTTACAGGGAATGAAACTGAGGCTGAGAAAGGTTAAGGGAGCTTTACAGCCAGCACATGTGGGTGACAGCAACCCCAGCTAAGACCTGGCCGACATTGAGGCTCTACATTCCTCCCACTGCATCAACACATCAGAACTCCAAAGGGGGCACAAGTGGGCAACCATACCAGGAAAGAGAAACTCATTAGGGCCTGACGTGGGTTTTATAGCAGGTTGAAGAAAGCATCTGTAGTCTTGTGCATACTAACCACCTTGTAAAGAAATCCCTTTTCCTTAGAAATTACAAAGACAAATTTCACAGGCCCAGACCTGTGAGGGGGTCGGGCTCAGTTCAGAAGGTTTTGCAACACCAAGTGGAATGAGACCACTGGTGCTCCTGGCCCCTTGGTGGCCCAGGAGGGTCCAGGAAACAGGGAAGATCAATGTAGGGGCCGTGGCTTGCCTGAGCACCAACCACCCCCACACCCACCACAGACTCCAGACGGCAAAGGACAGGGTATGTGGGACAGACAAGTGCCCTACAGGAGCCATAGGTCCTCAGGGGCACAGCGGTGAGGATGCTTTCCCCTACCTCATCCCAAGCAAATGCATTTCCCACTAAATCCCCAGTCATAGATTCCCAGCTGGGGTCAGCAACCAGACAAGTGCAGGCCCAGCTTGGGCAATTTTCCTCTCCAAGTAAAATTTAAAGCTTAAGGCGGTACCTCTCAGAACCACCTAGATCACGTCTCTTCTCTCTGGGCCCCATGAACTCACCTAGAAAAGGTGTGATGGAGCCTGATGGCTTCTTAGGGGCACATAGCCATGAAAGAGTGGGGCGGGGCCAGCTAAAGAGTCAGCTCTAGGTTCTGAAGGCAAAATGGAGGAAGGGCCTTGCTTCCAGGCCCTGTGCCCCTTCCTGTCCTCAGTAGCCCTTGGCAGGGGTTTGGGGGCACATCCTCAGGCTGGAGGGGCTGCCAGGCAGTTCAGAGGCAAGAACAAGTCCTTCCCTCCTCACCTGCCTGGACCTCTGGGTTTCAGTCCCAGGAGCTGGAGCCTGGCAAGGTCAGCAGAGTGCTGAGGCAGGCAGGATGCCCATCCTCCCCTGAGAGGACAGCAGGGGAGCAGGGGTAACATGAACAGGACAGGCTGGCCCCTTCCCCACAGTACAGAGGTATGGGGCTGCAAATGCCTCTTTGGACCTGGGGGGAGGGGAAGTTACAGCCCTGGTAGGTCAAGATCCCCTTAGAATGGGTGTGCCCTAGAGGGGCTCCTCCTCCTAACCTGCCCAGAAGTCTTAGGGATGTATAGAAGGTTGGGAAGCAGCTCCGAGGGCGCCTCTCAGGGGTCCCAGGGAGGCTGTCCACTGTCTGATTTAAGAGTAGGTCAGTCTCCTCAGTTAATATTTTACTGGGACAGCAATGTGGTGCCCGAGGATTTGGTTACTGATCCCGTGGGCCTGAGCCTTGTCTAGGGATGTTGGTCGAGGCAAAAGGGGCTGCCCTAATGATGTGGCTGAGGTCTCTTATCACTTGCCACCATCAGGTACCCCAGGCTGAGGATCCTTCCAGTCATCTTCACCCTGAGCCACCTCCCGCCAACGAGAGGGCCGAGCCGGCTGTGCTCACCCGGGGCGGCTCGGACCGGCAGGCCTAGGATGGCTCAGTGTGTCACCAGGCATCTCGCTCACGCCCACCCCAAGCGCCGCAGCTCCATCCCTTCCGGGGTTCCTCGGAGCCCCAGGCCTCTCCGTCCTCTCAGTCCCAGGCCAGCCCTCAGGAGTCCGGAGGGGGCGGCGGCTTCAGGCGGCCAGTGCCGCTGAGCGCTGTGCGCCCGAGGGCCGCACTCGCTGGGCCCGCGGACCCGCGCCGCGGAGCGCGACCGCGGCTCCCTCCCCACACACTGCTGGCCCCGGCGGAGCGGCGGATGGCCACGCGTTACCTTCCATGGACATGGGCTCCAGGATGCCGAACTGCTTGAGGACGGCGATGAACAGCAGCACCACCACGGCCATGGCGCACAGCTCCATGCCCTGGATGCCCATGGCGACCCGAGCTGCCCGGGGCCGGGGCGTGCCCCTCGCCCGCGCGGTGCCTCGGGAGGCGCCGGGGCCCGTGCAGCCCGCCCGGCCTCTTGGGGAGGCCGCGGCTCACATCCCCCGGCAGGCGGGGCTGCGGGTGTCGACGGGGCCCGGGCCCCGCGGAGAGCTGCGGCGGCGAACTGGGCAGGCCCCGAGGTTAGACGCGGCGCGGCGGCAGAGCCCGAGCGCAACTTTCCGAGTCAGCCGGCAAACTTCGAGGCGCGGCGGCGGCGGCGCGGAGCGCAGCTCAGGCGGCCGGCGCGGGCCAGAGACGCCTCCATG